TCCCACCTCTGGACAGGAGCTGCCCATTTAGTCTCATGAATCTACTTGAACTAAGAAGCACACTCTTCACGAGTATTATTGTATATGTGTGTAAAGTCCAGTCTAATCTTTGTCTGAAGAGTTGACTTCGGGAATGGTTTTAGCTCTGGGTTAACAGAGTCTGGGGGCCAGGTCTTCTGCGGTTCCTCCAGCCTTAGACCATTAAGTCTGGTCTTTTTACGTGAATTTGAGTTCTGCACCACACTTTTCTCCTGCTCTGTCAGGGACTCTCTATTGTGTTCCCTGCCAGGGCTGGCAAATGTTTTAGTGTGTATATTTTCATCATATTTTTTTTTTTGAATTTTCACAACAAAAGAAATTGAAAAGAAAAAACAGGCAGTGGGCAGGATTTGCCCCACAGGCCATAGTTTGCCAACCTCTAAGTTTGGGGATAAAATTGTAAAACAAGAAAAAAGAGTGTTTGCAGTCTTTCTGAAAGAGGATTAACCAAAAGCCAAACCCATTGCCATCGAGTTGATTCCAACTCATGGGAACCCTATAGAACAGAGTAGAACTGCCCCACAGAGTTTCCAAGGAGCACCTGGTGGATTCAAACTGCCAACTTTCGGTTAGCAGCTGTAGCACTTAACCACTATGCCACCAGGGCTTCCAGGGAAATGGAGGTCAGGAGCAAAACTTTAGTCCCCAGAAGTGCTAGGGGTGGGACCAAGGCAGGTCTCTAGGATCAGCAACTTGTACTCAGATGAGGGAAGAAGACAGAGAGCACCCTGGTGGAGCTCCATAGGGCAAGCACTGATTGCTCACAGGCACTAGGCACCGATACTACAGATGAGGAAACTGAGGCAGAGAAAGACAGTGACTTGCTAAAAGACTCACAGCTAGTAGAGGTAGGATTTAAGCCCAGACAATCTGATTCCAGAAATGCAGCTGATAGCCACTAGCTACACCCTCCACCCCTCCACCCCCTACCCCAGGGCAGAGGCCTGGTTTCTTGAGCCAAGGAAGCAGCAGAGAATAAGGCTGTGGTGTTCAGGGCCCCAGCGGTGGGACCAGAGGGCCAGAGGGGCTGCAGGGAGGCAGTGGAGAGCAGAAATGTGTCGGTCATTAGGGTCTAGGACACCAGGCTCGCCCCAGAAAGGTCTTTAGGGAGTGGCTTTATCAAAGAAGCTATATTAACACTTCTTCCACAAAAGTAGCTGGGATGGGACACCTTTGCCCCTTTACTGCTGAGTTAACAAAGATTTTATGGGTTGCGTTAAACAGATAAATAAACAAACATTCAGGGAGTCAGTTCACCAGGATTATAAAGGAAAACACAAACAAGGTCGGGGTACTAATGGCTCCGTGCTAATTGTGCTCTGTAAAATAACTTCACCCTTGTTGGCCCATCATCTTCACACTTCATTGGAAATCCATTAAAACAATTGCTGGGCCATTAACCCTGACTTTCAGGCAGAAGTTTCCCTTGGGCAGAGTTTTGTGACTATGGGCCCTTCATTAATACTCAGTGTAATTGCTTGTGAGCTGGATAATTGTGATGACATATCTCTATTTAAATATGGAGGGGGAGCATTGAAGACACGAGCTTTTCCTTGAATCTTTATATTTTAACATAAGTGGACTCATCTCCCTCGGGCAAGATAACATATTAAAACTGGAGTTTTTAAAACAGATAGCAGGCTGATTACTCCATTTACAAAAGAATTCACCACAGGATTCCTTAAACAGTAAGCTCCCAGAAAGATCAAAATGATTTGATTTACAAAATTTCAATTTGCTAGCATCTTCTTCATATTACAGCTCTAGCATAAAGGTTATATTTGAAAAGAAACAGCTGCTAATTAGTACCCTAGTGACTGCTGAGCTGGGAGCTAAAGGCCTGAACTTAGGAAGAGGGTGGCCAGAGGCATCTTTCAAAAACACCTTGAAGTTCAGCCTCAAAGTCTAGGACAGGGCAGTGACCTAGTAGGACACATAGGGCAGAAAGGGAAACCAAGGGGGACATCAATTACAGATGAGGGAACCCTGAGACAAACTGCAGCTTGGAGCTCCTTCAAGTAGGCACTCCTGACATGTGTACAGAGGGGAGAACCCAGCTGCCCCCTCGAAGGAGGTCCTCCCTGCACTCTGCTCAAACTTACCCAGCACCCATTAAGATACAGGCCGGTTACAAAGCCTGAGAGGACATTAAAGAACCAGAGCCTGACCTTTCCCAAGAAACAGTAGTTTTCTCTCTTTATATTTGATCATTTTTCATTGCTCTGTATTTAAAACAAGGTACATGAGATTCTCAGTCAATGAACCTCATGCACAGCCACCACCCATCTGTTAGTGGAGGCTTGTTACTATGATGCTGAACAGGTTTCAGCAGAGCTTCCAGACTAAAATAGACTAGGAAGAAAGGCCTGGTGATCTACTTCTGAAAAATCAGCCATTGAAAACCCTCTGGAGCTCAGTTCTCCTCTGACACACATGGGGTCCTCATGAGTCAGAGTCGACTTGACAGTAACTGGTTTGGCTGGTTAGTCTTACATCAGCTTTAATACACAAAACAGTGTTCATATATTTCTCATTTTGCTGCAGATTGGTGAACATTTCCTAATGAACCCACAAATGTCTGTGCAGAGTTTGGAAACCACTGCCGAGAGCAGCCACTAGTCACATGTAGCTATTGAGCACTTGAAATGTGGCTGCTCCAAACTGAGATGTGCTCCAAGCGTAAAATACACACCAGATATCTAAGACTTAGTGCAAAAAAAGAATGTAAAATGCCTCATTAGTAATTTTTATATTGATGACATGTTGAAATGATAATATTCTGGATATATTGGGTTAAATAAAATATATCATCAAAATTAAGGTGGTTGTTTTTTAATGTGTCTACTAGAAAGTTTAAAATTAGATATGTGGCTCACATTATACTTTTGTTGAACAGTGATGCCTAGATAATCAGCATCAATTGGACAATGTTGGATTATTGCTTATGATCACATAAATATATGGCCTACATATTTGGCATTTTCATACCAAATAAATTGTACTTGCATTTTTTTTTTCGTTCAGGACAAAGGAATTATGATTATGAGAACCTTTGTGCTGAAATTTGTCTTGGGTGACTTTACTCGCTGTTCTGAACTATATGTTTGATACCTATTTTGGCCACTAGAGGGCAGTAGTGTATATAAAATGTGAGCATTGAAACACCCTTTAACAGAGAAGACACACACAAAAACACCCCTTCTCCACACACACACAGCCTACCACAGATTAGGTATTAATTATTAGAGCCCATTATTTTTGTCTCTTTCCTAAGTGCCATGAGGGCATTGATGGTTCAGTGGTAGAATTCTCACCTTGCATTTGGGAGACCCGGGTTTGATTCTGGGTCAATGTACCTCATGCGCGACCACCATCTGTCTGTCAGCAGAGGCTCGTGTGTTGCCATGATGTTGAACAGGTTTCAGTGGAGCTTACACACTAATATGGACTAGGAAGAAAGGTCTGGCAATCTAGTTCTGAAAATCAGCCAACGAAAACCTTGTGAATCACAACGGTCTGATCTGCAGCTCATCGTGAGGATGGTGCGAGACTGCGCGGCATTTCTTTCCCTTGTGCAAGGGGTTGCCATGAGTTGGGGCCGACTGAATGGCAGCTGACAACAACAACCTAAGTGCCATATGCCTTGAAAGGGAAGAGAGACCGCAGGCCACTGGGTAGAGCCTGAGCAGGGCCTTAAACTGCATGAGACTACAGAGACTGGAGAAACCCCGAGAGTATGGTCCCTGGACACCCTTTTAACTCAGTAATGAAGTCACTCCTGAGGCTCACGCTTCAGCCAAAGATTAGACAGGCCCATAAAACAAAACAAGACTAAATGGGCACACCAGCTCAGGGGCAAGGCGAGAAGGCAGGAGGAGACAGGAAAGCAGGCAATAGGGAACCCAAGGGGAAAGTGTTGACATGTCCTCGCGTTGGCAACCAATGTCACAAAACAATATGTGTATCAATTGTTTAATGAAAAACTAATTTGCTCTGTAAACCTTTATCTAAAGAACAATAAAAAATGATTTAAAAAAAAAAAAGTGTGACACTTAGGTAGAACAAAGCAGGGAGGCCATTCTTTCTGAGAGAAATCGGATGTTCAAAGGCAAGTGTTCAAAGACCCAGGTTGTGGAGCCAGCTTTGCCTTTCTGGCTCCGCTACTAACAAAATGTGTGACCTGAAGCAAGTCTTGAGGCCTCAGTTTCCTCCTCCGCAAAATGAGGACGTGGAACGAGTGAGCTTTAACATGTCCTTCAACCTCTACATTCCACACTTTCAAGAGTAAAGCCTACAGGCCTGGTGCTAGAATAGTTTTAATGGAGAGTTAAAAACAGTAATAATTACAGGACTCCCAGGCACAATGGTATTATAACTTCATGCTTTAAGGACGCCTCTGCTCCAAATGGAGCCCTGGCAGTGCAGTGGTTAAGAGCTTGGCTGCTAACCAAAAGGTCAGCAGTTCGAATCCACCAGTTGCTCCTTAGAAACCCTATTGGGTGGTTCTGTCCTAGAGGGTCGCTATGAGTCAGAATCCACTCAAAGGCAACAGGTTTGGTTTGGTTTGGTTTGGTTTCTTCTCCAAACACTTAACCCCAAACCCAAACCAAACCTGTTGCCATTGAGTCAATCCTATAACAGTAAGAGTAATAGACAAAATACTAAAATAGTTTAAAAGTCATAACGTTGCTCAAAAAAGATCAACATCTCTAAGAACCAGACAGCAGAAACACAATGCTAAACACAGGGATGACTCTGAGGGGTTGTTAGGCTCCGGGTCAGGAAGCAGAGGTGACCAGGAGTTTTCTCCTGGTGAAATTGGGGAGATCGCATGAGGAGGTGTCCCTGAGCCGCCTGAGGACCCAAGCATCAGGGATGAAAAAAGCTCTAAAAAACTCCCACCAGGCCTGAGGCTTATACAAAGCTCCTTACCTTCTTCAAATACCATTTAGTCTGCTGTCAATAAGAGTTTACTTGTTTTTAAAAAATTCCAGATACCGGCATTATCTGGAAACTTTTCACAGGTTTATTTATAACATTATAAAGTTGAACGGCTGACAGTTGTTCCCTGACACATTCTGACTTGCATTAATGCTTTACATTCCCACATTGATATTAAAAATTCACATACAAATGAAAATGGAAAAACTGCCAGTATTTTATTCCTCCCCCTGTTTTTCCATTTGCAATCACATACTTAGATACCTTTAGGCCCCATGGAAAAAGAATATCTAACATTCAGACCTGCTAATGACAGGAAGAAATGGGGAAAAAAAAGTTTTTAGGGTGAAATGTTTCCCATCAGAGTAGATTGTAAATTAAGCTCATTCCCCACGTAAGCGGTGTACTAGCTGGATGTCTTTTGGCGTGTTTCACGTTTGACATGGACAGCACACAGGTTGAGGTCTTCAGAAAGTCCAACCAGATAGGCCTCATTTGCCTCCTGCACTCTGGAATGGAGATCTGTTTTGAAGTCCTAAGCAATTTCTGGCACCAGATGCTGGAAGGAAAGTTTGTGAACAGTTCAGAGGGCTTCGGATAATATCTAATTTCAAGAGTGCCCCAGTGTCAGGTCTGCAACAATGTGGTTTCTTCACCTGTCCAGTAGAGGGCGCAGTCTTTTGAGCGGCTTTGGTAGCCAATTGCTTCCACGGTGCTAATCAGAGGCGTAACTAGGGTACGGTAGGTATGTCGGGTATTGCACTAGCCCCGGGCGCGTGGAGCCCCTGAGCAGTTTCTATTAACCCATTTCAGCCAGCAGCGTGTCTACGGAAAATGGCGCCTATGGCAAGCACTGAAACTGTGCCCCTGTCCAAACATCTGAGGCCCCTCTTTTAGAAAACTTTGCCATAATGTCAGCTCAAAAATACAAGTCAAGCTCGTTAATCTTTTAATTAACACATTACCATGCTTGAGGAAGGACGTAGGGCCGTACTGGGTTAACAGAAGCTGTTCGGTGGCGCCACGTGCCCAGGGAAGGTGCAATATCCTAGATACGCCACTGTTTACCGCTGGTCGATTTAGTGGGCAGTTGGCTTTGTATAAAGGAGCCCTGGTGGCACAGTGGTTAAGCGCTTGGCTGCTAACCAAAAGGTCAGCGTTCTAACCCACCAGGCGCCCTTCGGGAGAAAGATGTGGCAGTCTGCTTCAGAAAAGATTACAGCCTTGGAAACCCTACGGGGCAGTTCTACTATGTCCTATAGGGTTGTTATGAGTTGGAATCGACTGGATAGCAATGGGTTTGGTATGAGTTTTGGCTTTGTATGAGCCATGGTATAGAGACCTTTCAGCTGGAGCTTGATGAGGTAGATTAATATCGACTTTAAAAAAAATTTATTATTTATTCAGCAAATATTTTAAGCATCTACAATGTCGCAGGTGCTGTTTTAGGTGCTGAGGATACAATAATAAAACAAAGTGACTGCCCTAATGGAGCTTTAAAGAAAAAAAAAAAAGTCACTTGCCATAAGTCAATTCTGATTCATCTGACTCATAGCAACCCCATGTGTTTCAGAGTAGAACTGTGTTCCATTGGGTTTTCAATGGCTGTGACATTTCTAAAGTAGATCGCCAAGCCTTTCTTCCAAGGCACCTCTGGGTAGATTCAAACTGCTAATCTTTCAGTTAGTAGCCAAGCATATAAACATTTTGTGTCACCCGGGGATATCCTAGTGAATAAGATAATTTTTTTTTTAATTATGTAATATGATGCCTAGTAGTGACAAGTGCTATGAAGAAATGTTTAGGATCCTCAAAGATTTAAAGACATGACTAACCACTTATTTTAAAAAATAAGAAATTATGGTACAACAAATAGGCAAGATAAAACAAAGGCTGTTGATACAACAAAGAACCAATTAGAAATTCTGGGGGGAAAAAGTATAGGCATTGAAATATGTAAACTCCAAACAGTACTGGATAAACTCTATGGAGTCATAGTGGAGAAGAGACTCATTCATGAGAAGACAATACTGAAGAATACACCCACAATGCCATAAAGAGACATAAAATATATTTTTTAATACACAAAAGAGCAGTTAAGAGGTATGGAAGATAGTCCGACAGGTACCAACATGCAGCTAAAAAGAATTTCAGAAGAGAAGAACAGAGAGAACGAGAGAAGTGATGTTCAAAGAGATAATTAATACCTAAAGCTTTTCAGTATTAAAGCTATAAATTCCCAACACTTAGAACTGTAGATATGAATACATACGAACTTGTATCTTCACTACGATGAATCTAGGTGTCCACACATTATAGTGAAACTGCAAGATGCCTAACGGTAAAGAAAAAAAATCTTACCACAGAGAATAAGAAAAATTACATACAAAAGGGAAACAAAAACCAAACTGATGGTTGAGCTCTCATAGCAACAGCTGCCATAAAACATGAGAGTAACTCCTGCAAAGAGCCAATACAGAATTGTATACCCAATTAAACTACCGCATTTTTACGCAAATAACGTATGCCAACTGGGCCCTCCCCCGTGAGGTATTTTCGTAAGCACACTATGCTGATTTTTTTACAGCAACACGTAACTACAAAACCAAGCTTGTGTAGAAATGTTAGTATCAGACATGATGGAATTTAAGGCAAGAGATATTAATAGGGATAAAGAAGGATTCTTCATAATGATGAAAGGAACTGTCCACCAAAAAGATCTTCATAAAATTATATATGATAATATAGTCTTGAAATACATAAAGAAAAAATTAACAGAATTATGAAAAGAAGTTGGCAAATTCATACTCATAATGGTAGATTTTAATAAATCTTGATTATAAACTGATAGATTAAGCAAACAAAATAGTAGTAATGATACAGATTTGCTCAACATAAGTAACAAGTCTTATCTAACAGATATATAGAAAACCCTGCACATACAAAAATATAACAAAATAGATAATATAAATTCTTCTTAAGCTCACATATTAAGTAAAAAAGGGAATTTTAACAATTTCAAAATAATCTCATACAGACCAAGTCCTTGGACCATAGCCAATTGCCATTGAGTTGACTCTGACTCACGGAGACCTCATGGGTGTCAGAGTAGAACTGTGCTCCATAGGATTTTCAGTGGCTGACTTTTCAGAAGTAGGTCACCAGGGCTTTCTTCTGAGGTGCCTCTGGGTGAACTCAAACCTCCAACCTTTTGTGTGTTACCATTTGCATCGCCCAAGGCGTACCCTTGGACCATAATGCTATAAAATTAGAAATCACTTATAATTGATTTTTTAAAATGCCTAAATAATTTAAGGATTAAAGAGGAATTCACAATGGAAATTATAAAAATTAGAATTAAACAACAACAGAAGCACTACATATCCAAGTAATAATAATAATAATAGCTACAATGTGTTGCTTCTAGCTATGAACCAGGCATTGCATTAAGGGCTTCCCAAGCAGTAACTCTCTCGGCCTTCAAAGTCAGATTATGAAATAGGTATTGTTAGCCACTTTGTAAGGATGAGAAAACTTTTTGGTGGAACAAGGTAACCATGCATAGCAGGATAATGGGTCTGTATGAAGGTAGGGAGCCAATGAAGCAAGAAGGGAGGTGTAGGTAGAATTTTACTGATGCTTGGGGATAAGAATAGGGGGCTTATGCCAAGTACAAATAACAGTTTGATGGACAGAAGGTGCACCACATTCTAATTTGGAAGTATTTCATGCTGGTGATTACCTTTGCCCTACTTACCTCTCCCCACAGATCTGCCACCTCTCCCTGAGGTCCAGGCTGAGCTTGTCTCATTTTAAATAACACAATAGCAACAACACCTGCCCAGTTTTTAGCCAGAACTGAGTTTTCACACTGTAAATAAAGAAGTGTTCATGGGAACCACACACTTAGATTTGAAGTTCCCAACCCTGTCTGGGGAGATTTCAAACACATCAATGTGTCCCCAAAAAACATATGTTTAAGTCCTAACCCCCAGTACCTGCAAATGTGACCTTACTTGGAGATAGGGTCTTTGCAGATGGAATTAGTTAAGCTAACAAGAGGTCATACTGGAGTATAAAAACAAACACATTGCAGTCAAGTCGATTCCGACTCAGTGACCCTATTGGACAGAGTAGAACTGCCCCAGAGGGTTTCCAAGAAGCTCCTGGTGGATTCAAACTGCCAACCTTTTGGTTAGCAGCCAAGCTCTTTAACCACTACGCCACCTGGGCTCCATACTGGAGTATGGTAGGCCCTGATCCAATATGACCGGCATCCTTATAAAAAGAGGAGAAGAGACACGTAGGGAGAACACCATGTGACGAGACACAGAGGGAGACTCCCATGTGAAGACGGAGCAGAGACTGGAGTGATGCTGCCACAAGCCAAGGAACAGCCGTGACTACCACAGCTGGAAGAGAGAAGGAAGTATCTTCTAGAAACTTCTGAGGGAGCACGGCCAGGCTGACACCTGGATTTCAGACTTCTGGCCTCCCGAATTGTGAGGCAATAAATTTCTTTTAAGCCATCCACTTTGTGGTAGTCTGTTACTGTGGCCCTAGGGAACTAATACCTCCCCCCATCACGCAAAGATTTGTATTCACTTGATCTGGGGTGCTGGCTGGGCAACTGGATTTTTTGACTCTATTGCACAACCAGGGTTGAGAACCACAGGATTGGAATGGGCGAGACGAAGGGAAACACTGCACCAGCCACCTGAATTTTGGAACAAGACCCTGTCAGGCCCTCCCAACAGCCAGGACAAGTACTCTGGCAAACCTCAGGGCCTGCTGTTCTGACAGCTTTGAGAGCTGGTTCCCATTTCTTGGAGGAAGAGTGTAGCACTGGGTATTTGTCAGCAAAAATAACAATTTTCCAGGAATGGAGGAGGTGAGCTTTCTCTTACCTTGACATTGATAAAATTAAAAGCTAGCCACCTGGTATTAGGAGTAGGGTAAGGAGGCAGTTCCTCGTGCACATGGCCTCTCGTGGAAATCACCTAGATAACATACATTTTCTGCTAAATCTCCTTCCCTTGGGTCTAGAAAGCACTTCTCTGCCAGCTCTTCTCTCTCTCAATCTTTCTCTCCCCTCCTCCTCCTCTTCTTCCCCCTCTATCCTCTCCCTCCTCCTCCCTTTTCCCTATCTTTTGCCTTCCCCCCTCCTCTTCCTCCTTCCCCTCTTCCTTTTCCCCCTCCTCTGTCCCTGCTGTTGTTGCTGTGTGCCTTCTAGTCAATTCCAATTCATATCGACTCTATAGGACAGAGTAGAACTGCTCCATACGGTTTCCTTTATGGGAGCAGATCACCAGGTCTTTTCTCCCGTGGAGCTGCTGGTAGGTTCAAACCATTGACCTTAATCCTTCGGTTAGCAGCCAAGCGCTTAACCATTGCACCACCAGGGCTCCTGTCCTCTAAATCATGGTTCAGGCCCCACTCCCAGCCTCACTGCTGCCCCAGCTGAGCAACCCCAGGCATCTGGCCCATACCCTTGCACCCCCTGCCTCCCACACAAGACCCATCACCCCACACTGACCCTCCCAAACTCTGCCAGTTCGGTGTCCTGGCTGGTCATTTCCTCGGCCCCTACCCAGGCTAACATCTGAGTTTACAGCAAGCCGTTCGTCGACCACCCTGCCCTGGCAGCTCCTCTCACCAGACCTTCTCACAGAAGAGGGAATTGTCTTCCTAAGCCACCTTGTGCTGACTGAATCATCTTCCTGTGATCGTGACTCCCAGTTGCTTATTACATAAAACTCAACCTCCTTAGCAGAAGCTTCCAGTCTTCTTTTAGCCTTACATCACCCTTCCTTCCACCATCACCTATAGTTCCTGGGCTGGGCTCTCCACCACACACACACACACACACACACACACACACACACACACACACACATACACACACACGAGGTTACCAGTCCCCCTTCCCTTCTCTCACCCAAACCCATTTCCTCCTCAGCTCCTTCTCGAATCCCATCGTGTCCTTCCATCCCATCCACTCCAGCTTCCTGCACTCACCACAGCTAGGTCCTCAGAGTGCTCCTAGATCACAGGCTGTCTGCCAAGCTTGCTTTCTGCTCTCTTTCTCCTGGTCCCCTAACAGGAAGCAGAAACAGAGAATGGGAGATGACTGCCCACTTGGTCACTGGTCTTCTGTCCCCCAAATTAACACCCCGTCTCTACCCAGTAGCCCAAACTTGAAACCTTGGCATTGTCATCCTCAACTCAGCCTCCCCAGATCCAAGCTGTTGGCAGATCTTGTCAGTTCTTCTCTCTGGTCCTCCATACCCATCCCTTTGCAGCCTCCCCACTCCCACTGCTGCCAATTTAGCCTAAGACTCATCCTCTCACTTGGCTAACTTGTTCCCCCACAACACCCTCAGCATCCTGTCACTTGATGCCATGCAGGACTGTTAGAAAATCATCCCCAGAACCTGCTGTGAAGGTGTCCCTACCCACCTCTCTCTCTAAAGCCTTTAGTAGTATCCCTTACCCAGGGGGCTGGGCATTCCCAGACTCTCCTCCAGCTGGTCTCTGACCACCTCAGCAGTCCTACTTCCTGTGCACAGAAGCCCTCTCCCAGGGACTCCCCAAGCTCGGCAGGCACAGGCTTGCCTCTGGGCTGTTGCTTATGCTGGTTCCTCTACCTAGAATGCCTTCTTCTCTTTCTCTCTATTGGGTGTGTTGATCTGGGTCTTCCTTGGAGACCCAGACCAAGGCCATCTCCTCCAGTAAGGCTTCCTGGAACCCCAAGCATCAGTGTGCTGCCTTCTCCTGACCACTGTGGCCCTTGGTATCTGGAGCACTCCTTCACTTGAAGCATCACTGCCTGGAGAGTCTAAACCGTCTTTCTGTGCACATGCCCTGTCTTCACACACACGGTCAGTCCCTCACAGGCAGGGGCTGTGTCTGCAGAAGCGCTGGATCCCAGCAGCCAGCACTGGGCTGCACACAACAACTTCCTACAGGACCCTGCTGATGATATTCAAGGGATTTCTCTCCAACAACCTACTGCCTCATTCTCCTTTTGAAAAGTGTTCTTCAGAAGACTGGAAGCCTGCTCCCTATCATGAGGTGCCACAGCAAGGGAGACACTGACATGAGAGCAAAACACGCCTCTTCTCCTTCATCCTTGCATTAAAAATAATTGACACAAGGCCAATCCCCAAAGTGTGAAGATAATTCACAACCCCGCTTTCCCATTTCTCCATCTCTGACACCAGCCACCCACATGGCATTTTCTCCCTCTCTGACTCTAACCACCCAGAGTTTGGTCTTTACAAAACGACTGCCCGCACAGCCTTCTTCTGTCCACCAGTCACCCAAGGCTGGAGTCTTCACAAATTAGGACTCCACTGAACATGCATGACTGAGTCCATCATGCCGCCTTCCCTTTTCTTGAAGTTAGTTCTCACCAGGTGTGGTCCTTGGATTCCACCTTGTTATGGATTGAATTGTGTCTCCCAAAAATGTGTGTCAAATTGGCTAGGCTATGGTTCCCAGTATTGTGTGATTGTCCATTTTGTAATCTGTTGTGATTATCCTATGTGTTGTAAATCCTACCTCTGAGATGTTAATGAGACAGGATTAGAGGCAGTTATGCTAATGAGGCAGGACTCAATCTACAAGATTAGCTTGTATCTTGAGTCAATCTCTTTTGAGATATAAAAGAGAGAAGCAAGCAGAGAGACAGAGGGATCTCATACCACCAAGAAAACAGTGCCAGGAGCAGAGTGCATCCTTTGGACCCAGGGTTTCTGTGCTGAGAAGCTCCTAGACCAGGGGAAGATTGATGACAAGGACCTTCTCCTAGAACTGAAAGAGAGAGAAAGCCTTCCACTAGAGCTGGCACCCTGAATTTGCACTTGTAGCCTCCTAAACTGTGAGATAATAAATTTCTCTTTGTTAAAGCCATCCACTTGTGGTATTGCTGTTATAGCAGCACTAGATGACTAAGACAGAATCTGGTACTGAGAGTGAACTGCTGCTCTGACAGATACCTAAATTGTGAAAGTGGTTTTGAAACTGTGAATGGATAGAGGCAGGAAGAGTTTTAAAGTGCCTAATAGTAAAAGCCTAGATTTCCTAGAAGAGACTGTTGGCAGAATTATGGACATCAAGGACAATTCTGGCAAGGACTCAGAAGGAAACGAGGAGAGCTGTTACACTGAGACAGTGTAGATGGCAAGAAGCAGCAGTACAGAAACGGCAGCGGCAGAACTTGGAGACCAGCGTGAGACAGCACTGGAGTCGACCCACAGAGCAAAAGAGCTGAGTACCTTTGTGCAGGAGGCTTCCTGGCAGAGTATATCTGGGGACTTACTGGTGGAGCTAAAAATCTTTGGAACACTTACCCCAGCGGGGCAGATGCGGGCAGTGAGGCCCCAGGGGCCGAGAGGCCAAGGAAACAGGAAGCAGAAGTTGAAGAGACACAGAACACAGGAAGCAGAGCTGCCTCAGTCTCAAAGATTAGGGCCACTATCTCTGGGGTCTTAAAGGGTGGAATCATGGCCTCCGGGGTTTCAAAGATTGGTGCCACAGACTCCTAGGTTTCAAAGAGTCAGATCTTCACCAACTCAGTCTGGAGTATGGGGCGGCCGTTCATGAATGCCAGTGGGATGGGGCCGGATCCACTGCCCAAAGCTGAGGTGGCAGGGCTTCCATGCCCAAGGGGCAGAAGAACAGAGACTTCCGGGTCCAAGGGGATAGGGTCACCACTCAGATCGACTAGGAGAATTGGACCGCCCAAAGCCGAGCGAGCAGAGTTGTTCTTCCAGTGAGCCTGGAAGGCGGAGCTGAAGCCCAGGGCTGAGGGGCCTTCACCCAGAATCCGGAGAGTGTGGCCAATACCCAGGGTCTGGAGGGCAGGGCCATTGCCTAAATGGTCTCAGAGAACAGAGGATTATTTTCAAGCTTTGAGAGCCAATGTAATGTGTTCTACTGACTTGCTTGATGGCTATTATTCCGTCTTTCTCTCCAATTTCTCCCATTTGTAATGTAAATGTCTAGCTTGTGCCCGTTCCACTATTGTACTTTGGAAGCAGATAACTTGTATTCTAGATTTCATAGTTGAAGAGGAATTTTTGGATTTTGGACTTGGAGTTTATTTAAGACTTTTTCTATGGTATGATGGGATGAATATGTTTTACATATGGCAAGAATATGAATTCTTGGGAGCCAAAGGATAGAAGGTCATGGATTGAATTTTGTCCCCTCAAAATATGTGTCAACTTGGCTAGGCCATGATTCCCAGTATTGTGTGATTGTCCACCATTTTGTAATCTGTTGTGATTATCCTATGTGTTGTAAATCCTACCTCCATAACGTTAATGAGGCAGGAGTAGAGGCAGTTATGCTAATGAGGCAGGACTCAATCTACAAGATTCTGTTGTATCTTGAGTCAATTGCTTTTGAGATATAAAAGAGAGAAGCGAGAAGAGAGACAGGGGGACCTCACACCACCCGCAAAGCAGCACCAGGAGAAGATTGCATCCTTTGGACCTGGGGTTTCCGTGCTGAGAAGCTCCTAGACCAGGGGAAGATTGATGACAAGGACCTTCCCCCAGAGTCAACAGAAATAGAAAGACTTCCCCTAGAGCTGGCACCCTGAATTTGGACTTGTAGCCTCCTAAACTGTGAGAGAATAAACTTTTCTTTGTTAAAACCATCCATTTATGGTATTTCTGTTATAGCAGCACTAGATAACTAAGATACACCTCATTTGCACACATGTAAGTGTTGCCTGGCTGTTCTGGAAAAACAGACCCTTGGATTGCTAGGGAAATCCAAGGGCTGTTTTCAGAAACCAGAGACAAAAGGTCTTCACACTAGAGAGGGCCATTTGTCCTCTGAGCTCAGTGCTGAGCATAACAGAGCATCCACTGGAAAGAAATATCAGACAGATGTCCCATGCTTGAGGGCTTGTTTCCAAGATGAAATGGAAGTCCTAGATGGACCACACCTTTCTTCTGAGAAAGGAGACAATATCATGAGGCCAGCTTTGGGATCAGGTGAAAGCCATCTAAATACCAGTCCAATCCATCGCTGCCTGAAGACCCTCAGAAGTCACCTGCCTCTCTGGACCTTAGCTGATCTCCCTATCAGGGTCTTTAGGAGGATGAAGTGAGAACACAATACACATCTGGTAAATGGCAGCTGATACGGTGGTTGAGGGTGTTGTGGTTGAGTAACTGTGGCCATTGTTGTGTGGTTGTGGAGCTGCTGTGGTTGTTGCAGTTATTGCCATTTTTACAGGTGTGTGGTAGTATGGTTGTAGTTATTGTAGTTGTGATTTTAGGTTTTGCAATTGTTTAAGAGCTCAGCTGCTAACCAAAAGACAGTAGTTTGAATCTACCACCCACTCCTTGGAAACCCTATGGGGCAGTTCTACTCTGTCCTATAAAGTCACTATGAGTTGGAATTGACTCGACAGCAATGGGTTTTGGGTTGGTGCTTGCTATGGTTGTTGCACTTCTGTAGTTGTGGTTGTTACAGCTGTTGCACTTGTCATGGCCATGTGGTGGTTGTCGTTGTGAGGTCGCTGCAGTTGCTGTAGCTGTGTAGTTTTTGTGGCTGTGTGGTAGTATGGCTGTGGTTGTTGGGGGTGTTGCAGTTGTATGGTGGTGGTTGTGAGTCGCTGCAGTTGTTTTTGTTCTGTGGTTGTCTGGCCCCTTCACACAGACTGAGAAGGAGACCGGCTGCCAGGAGCGGCGGCCTCTCCATACCTGATACATCTCATCACACAGAGGCAGCCAGCCTGTGCCCAGGCACAGTGAGAAAGGGAAGGGCAGAGGAAGGAGACTGTCTCCAGGTGAATATACGTTGGGAAGGAAGCACAGGAGCGTCCCCAGTGCACAGCCCTCTCCTTTGCTGTGGTGACTCCCCAGCAAAGCTGTGTAGGCCACGTCTTGGGAGCTGGAGCTGAGTCCAAATGCTTTAAAGCCCTGAAGGTGCTGCTCCGTGCAGCACCACCTCGGTTCACAGGAACAGCTTCCTGCACAGAAACCCATTATCTATGCCACCAAAAATAGACCCTGCCCCTTCGCACTGCCTCTGAGATGTGTC